ATGAAACAAGTTAAAAACGAAATTTCCTTAATATTAACGTTAATATTAAAATCTTTTTTCCCCATTGAGAGCCTCATTAGTCGAATTTCTCATTAAAATACTAAAAATAATTTCGACAATCAACGTTAAATGGCGGTGATATTATTAATTTTATTAAAAAATATGATTGATTGCTTGTTTTAAAAATAAAAACAAACGATTCTAGTAGTGAGAAAAAGGGAGAAAAAGTCCAACCATCCATCCATATTTCTGTTACTTACTGCGAATTTATATTAGACCTGGCTATGTTAAATGTAAGCGGCTGCCATTTTTAAAAGTTGTGTATTTCACGGGAGGAAAATTATTGTGTTTGATTCAGAGGGATATCATTTGTCTTTTGTTAGTCAAACACCTTTTAAAAAGAAAGAAAACGTGTTTGAGGATTGTAACAGACAATAAATTAGTGTTGACAGAATTGTACTGTAAATATTCAAAAAGCGGCTAGGAAATTGGAAAACTTTGAAAGTTGAAAGGCTGCCTAAAGAACGCTGGGTTGTTTACTTATTCTTCGGGCTGATAGCTGTCATTGCTTTTCAAGTTTTCATAAACATACGGCAGTTATTGCTCGTAGGATACTTAAATATGCCCAAATGTCATCAAAAGCAGTTGGCGTGTGGAAGAAATATTTTTTTCAGACTATAAAAATGAAACAAACAAAAATAGAGACTATATTTGGTGATTGGTAATTTGAATGAATAGAAGTAAGTTTTCTTCTTTTTATTACTTTTGACATTTAAGTTATTTTTCAATTTCAGCTTTTATATTGCTTTTCTCTGAACAGCCTGATATTGTCAGAATTGTCAACAAAAATGAAATTGAGGTACCACATGGGGAAAATTTTAAGAAAGTATCATCTCGTTATTGAAAAGTGTGAAATTATATTTTGATAATTTTCACTGTGAAATTATCAAATATAATTTTCACGGATAAATCAGTTATCCACTGAAAAGTATAAAATAAATTCTGATAAACCACTAGTGAAATTAATAAAATATAGTTTTCTCTGTAGCCGGACAATATCTGAATGCTGATGAAAAAAAAAATCATAACTAAATGGAACAACAGGCAGAAACAAATTTCATACGTAAATTTTGCTTATCTAGGAAAAGATAGTCGATGTCATCATACATCATGTTAAAAATTGTAACAAAATTAGAACTATATCAAACTTGATAATGTGGCGTCATGATGTGATGACGTCACAAAGGAGAATGCGCGACATTACGCGGCAAAATCAGTAAAAAAGATACTTAAAATCCCTTAAAAAGCATTGAATAAAAAGAAAATTTATTTGTTTTACATATAACATTGAAATATCGTTGGCTTAATTCTACAAACCCGTATGTCATTTTTTTGTAATTTTTTGAAAATCGCATTTGAAAGTTTGAACTGCAATAACTTTTTAATGATAAAGATAAACATTTCTGTGAATTTAGGAATCTGTATGAAATACATATATACCAAATTTTATTACTGTGCATACAATTCTAAAGCTAAAATCTGAAATAATCTATTTCAATTTTTCATAATAAATAAGTAAACACATGCATATTCTGAATTCTAAAACCCCATTCAGGAGATATTGGGTTGTTAGCAAAACATTCAGGTCATTTCTACACCGTAAAAGCGACATACGGGATTCTAAGTGAAATATTTGAAGCAAAATTGACTAAGTGTAATACTATTCGGCTAGAAACATTCATATTCAAGTTAAGAATATCATTAACTTCTCCTACTGTGTAAAATATTACACGTCTGTTTGAAATCAACAAAATCAATGCTACTATCAAATGATGTTAACATTAATTTTTCAAAAGTATGCACTTGCTATGTTACATGTTTATCAACCGACTGGATATCCGACGATGCGTTTCTGTCACATACCTATGTTGCTATAATGTTACAATTTTCGATTAAGAGTCATCAAGTAGATGCTTTTCGTGCTTTAGAAAACAGCGTTGAATCTGAAACAATTTGTACTGAAAGCATCTAGGTGTAAACAAAGTTGTATTTTGTCTTCCATTCAAGAATATCTAATAACTATAACTTCATGGATGATCAAAATGCAAATGGAAAAATGGTTCAGCTATATAGCCAATGAGTACCCGTTTAAAAGTGTAAAAACTTAAAAATGAGAAGCTTTAGGGAAACAAAAAAAAATACTCATCGAGGCCGTCCGAAATGGTGATCATCCGAATAAATGTAATATATTTACATATTTTCCTATCCAAGACATTAACTATATAATTCAAAATGATGCTAGAGCTATAAAAACTTAATAATCAATATATGTATATTACAGTCAGGTAATATACTATAATTATCTTTAAATAATACACCTTAATCACAAATTGAAACATTATAGCAACATAGATATGTGACAGAAACGCATCGTCTGATACCCAGTCAGTTGATAAACATGTAACATAACAGATGTGTCATGTATCACGTGGTACAAAATCAGAATGTTTTATTGGACAAGGAGTTATTGGAGTGTAGAATTAAAGTTTGATGTGAATAAGCAAGTTACGGGTTTGTGGAATTTGGAAATAAACATATTTATGTAAGTTCTACAACTACATAAGTATGTTCAATGTAAAGAGCTCAATGAGACGAAAAAAATCTCAATTTTGACAAAAATCGAGTAACGGGATTGTAGAATTAACCCATTACCGGATATACACGCCTTTTAACGCCTTTTTCACCCCCCATTTGTTGTCTCAAATGGTAAAAAAATGTGCCTAATTTAGGCCCCCAACATTTGTTTTTGTTCGAAAAATGTTGCCTAAAAAGTGACAACTTTTTTGGCGCCGCCCCCCCCCCCCATCCAAAAGATACATCATGGGTTGGCCCCACGTGTTTGAGGGGTTTGAAGGGGGCGGTAGTCTCCCTCATCGCCAAGAAAATTTTTGACTTGTGAGAGGCTAAAAATGACCCAAGGTTGATCATAAGGTAACGTGTAACCAACGCTGAAAAGCATTTGACTCTATCTTAATCCATTGAGAAGTTGCAGCACTTGAAATCAATTTTGACGAAAAAAATCAAGGCAAAATAGTGATTTTGGCTATTTTGAGATGTCCCCTCGTTGCCATGGTAACAGAAATTTTAAGACTGAGCATGTCGTTACAAAGGCAATGGTTCAGCCAACATTTGTGCCAAGTTTGATTAGTATTGAAGCAGTTTTTATAGTTTTATAGCAATTTGAACTTGTAACAGGAGACTTTTCAATGAAAACAGCCATTTTTCACAAAATGCTCATGAAATAATGGGTTAAGCCGACGATTTATTTCATTCGTGAACACCAGTTTTTCTTTTTTCACTTGAGGCTACGCCACTTGTGAAAATATTGCATCTGGTGTTCATTCAATGAAATTATATTTAAATCTTACATGCAAATCAAACAAATATACTCTATATTTAAAGCGGTAGTTCGGTTTTCTACTGACAAGTATGATTTATGGGATATAAAGGAAAGCAGAGACAGGTTTGTATGTTTGCCTTGTTTCTGCCGATTGGTCATACCTTGGCGGTTGGTCCACCTTGCGGGTTTTGGGTAACTAACCTGTAAACAAATTTCCTAGTTCTCCGCATAAGTCTCACATGAGGTGAGAGACAAATGGAAGTCGAAAACAAATGTTAAAATGGCATGGTTATATCAAGTTATTGCAAAATGTGTCACATTCCGCGATACGGAAATATCATTACAGCAAATATCATAAATGAATAATTAACAAAGGTGGGCTATCCGGTTGTGTGTCCTATGAAATATAACACGGAAATGCTCAGGGACCATTTCATGAAAGATATTATTAACAAAATATCAAGTATTTTTTTTTACACAAATATCACCAATTTGGAGAACGTAATGCAAATTTCATGTAATTATGATATTATAAAACGCATTAAAAATATCCCAAAACGAAAAACCTTGCACTGGTATATAGTTGATCAATGCATATGTGATATGGAATAAACACTAATACCAAATTATCCTTAATTGCTATATAATGTCAATGCATGACATTTATGGCTTGCCTGACATAGATGCTCGTGCTCTGCTAACCAATCTCTGTTCACTTATAGAAAGCGGCATAACAAATTTAACCGCGGACTTCTAAGTGATAATTTCTGCTTTAATTGATGTTATACAAACAATCTAAAATATGAATTGAGTTTTGTGTAATTTAACATAAACCTTAAACCGGCATGGATCTGAAGTGGATCATCAACTTCATTTTTATGATCTATATAAATAAAGGTTGGTAGTTTAATAATCTATTTGAAAGTTTGATAAAAAAACGCCATCTTCAGCATGAAAACTGCGCACGTAGGGGTAAATAAATAAATAAATAAATGTAGAAGAAGGGGTAAATTAATGTAAAAGAAAGCATTATTAAAAACAAGTCATTTAGTTTCAACAGATAGGGAATTAAAACTAGTGGACTTGAATATCTTTAACTTTGCATCACTTAAAATGAACAGAATAATTAAAAATCGATGAAAGAAACAACGTGGTTAACCATCTTATTGTTTAAGTTTTCTTCTCCTGAAATTCATTTACAATGTATATAAGGAACATCTCTGTTTTGTTAGCTCACCAGAACCGAAGGTTCATGGTGAGCTGTTAGTATCCAAGGGGAATGGTCCGGCGTTCGTCGTCCGTCGTCATGCGTCAACAATCATCTTCTCAAATGTGGTCTATAACATCCTTATGACAGTCACCTTTAAATTTACTCAAGTCTGTTTAATTGGCCTCTTTTAGGGGTCAACAGAGCTAAAAATTGAAAAACCTTTAAACACTATTCTTCTACTAAATAAAATGATGGATGATCACCAAACCTTTTCTGTAGCATTCTTAGGTAGCCTTTTATCGCTCATTCGATTTTGACTGGACCCTGTTAGAGGCCGCTTAAGCTAAAAATAGAAACAAAACTTTATCGTCTACTTCTACTGAACTAATGGGTGGATGAAACTTTGTCTGTAGCACTCTTAGGTAGACTTTAATCCAGTTTGCTTATATTAAGTTGATTGGTCCCTTTTAGGGGCCGCTATAGCTAAAAATAGAAAAATCTTAACACATTTTTTGGTGCCGAACTAATTGATCACCAAACTTTGTCTGTAGCATTCTTAGGTAGTCTTTTATCAATTTTGCTCATTAATTTGATTTGCCCTTTTTAGAGCATCTAGAGCTATTAATAAAAAAACTTTTAAACATTATCTTGTACTGAAGTAAATAATGCATTGTCACCAAACTTTGACTGTAGCATTCTTATGTAGTCTTTTATCAAATTTGCTCATATTAATTAGATTGGCCCCTTTTAGGGGCCACTAAAGCTAAAATGCCTCAGGCAATGCCAGGCATTTCTTCAAATTATAGTTTAAAGATATACTATGCTCTTCCTTGCGTTAACGATTTTTATCACAGAAATTTATTGAAATCGATGTATGTTTTACCCAATATGTCCAATTTGAACAAAATAATGAATAAATTATACATTGGAAGCTGTGTGACCTATAACAGGTCAAGTAAAATTGGCATTTTCTTAAAAAATGTTTTTTAATGAAACTATATATTTATAATGTAACCATCTGTGTAGAATTCTAAGCAGCGCGCCTCCAGAATCATGTGAATTTTCATGAAAAAATTTGGAAATGTTTTTAAAAGTAAAATAATGTGAGGTGAACAAATAAAATGATTTACAAATAGCAATCGGCACTTACAATCCACAAAAGTTACCAAATAAGTGGTCAACATAAAATTATGCAAAAAACAGCCCTTATTGCGGTAGAACTATGTAGTAGAAATATGGCGATAAACTTCTGCTAAATCAGTGTTAAACCGCACATAACATGTAAAATATAACTTGGATCTTGAATGTTTTACCTTTCTTAAAAGTTTAGAACTTTTTTCTATATATTGATTTCCTCAAAATAGTTTTGCTCATCTGGAGGCGTGCAGCTTCAAAACACAACTTTGTGTAAAATTAAAACATGTTTAATTTATATTTACAAATAGACTGTGTAGCAATTATAAATATTTTTTTCAAATATGAAATAAGAGCATAATATATTTTTAATGAAAGTGAAACAACTAATGTTAAAATGTATTTCATACATGTGAACAGGTTATGAAATTTTCTAAAGCTGGGAGTAATTACCTGGTTGCTGATGAAATTAGTTGAGGTCATGACCTCTGATTTATGAAATAACTTGAGCACATTATAAGGACATTATGATTAACACCACCCTGTCAACTTTATAATATTGATTTTAAATCGTAAATGTTTTTAGAAATAGGTAATACGTAATTGAAAAGATATTATACAGCCATGTAATACAGTAAATGCTTAATGTTTTGTCAAGTAAGAATACTTTTACATTGAATCAATTATTACACTATGTGCTTTGTATCTGAACAGTAAACATATCTGCACATTGTTTTTTATTTAACATGCTAAAATAAGACCCTGACCCCAAAACTCACTAGACATGCACTATGGCAAAGCTCAGTTGTATATTAAAAATATATTTATAATACTATAATTTAGTGTTGTGTCATAGCATTTTCTTACACAAATGCAATGTTGTTAATAAAATCATCAAATAACTTTCAGCTCTAGAATTTGGATACCCATTACATCATACCATGAATCTTTCTGCAGGGTCATTTGTAGGTCAGTGTAGAGAATTTTTCCAAGGAAAATCAAATAAGGCCTAAAGAAACATACATTTGTTTTCTGTACCATACTAACAAAGATGAGTTTCTGTACTTATTTTTTTATCGAACTGTAATTTTTTCAATCTTTGTTGAATTGAATTCAAACTTTGAGAAAGCACATTTCAATACATTTTGGGACACACTGTCGAACCTGATGTTTCATGTGCATACTTGAATTTAGGTATCAGTTGAGCTGTTACTAAGTATTGAATTTTGATATCAACAGGCCAACTTTTGATATTTTTGACATCACTTGACATACTTTTATAAACAGACTTGAATATTGGACAAGGGATATAATTTGTGTATTTTTTATGTTGAATTGAATTTTGATATCAGCTGACCTACTTTTGATATTATTGACAACATTTGACCTACTTTCCTGTTTTTTGACATACAGACTTTAAAGTTTGACCAGGGGTGTAATTTCTGACGCCGAATCGAAATTTGATATCAACTGACCTACTTTTGATATCCTTGATATTGTTTGACCTTCTTTCTTGATTTTTGATATACAGACATGGAATTTGGACCAAGGGTGTAATTTCTAATCTCAAATCAAATTTTGATATAATTTCATCTACTTTTAATATTTTTATATCATTTCACCTTCTTTCTTGTTTTCGAAATACTGACTTGAAATTTGGACTGAGGGTTTAATGTTTGATGTTGAATTGAACTTTGATATCAGCTTACCTACTTTTGATATTATTGACACTATGTGACCTACTTTCTTGTTTTTTGACATACAGACTTTAAATTTGGACCAAGGGTGTAATTTCTGAGGCTTAATTGAGTTTTGATATCAGCTGACCTACTTTTGATTTTTTTATATTATTTGACCTACTTTCTTGTTTATTGACATACATACTTGTAATTTAGATAAGGGGTGTAATTTCTGATGCTGAACTGAATTTTCATATCAGCTGGCTTTCTTTTGATATTTTTTTTACATTGACCTATTGTCATTTTTTCCAGCTACAGTTATGTTACCATATAGAATGTATACTAAATTTGTTGTCCTAACAGTAAATTTCAAACATCTACACCTTACTTATTTCGCATGTGACATTTTGTGTATTCATTCACAAAAGTTATTTAAAAAAAATCCCATAACTATTAACGCTGCTGTAGTGGTCATTTATTCTGCATTTATTCTACATATGTTCAATGGATCACGCTTTCAAAAGGCTATTTTTAACCAAGCCTTTTCAAAATATAAGGACAAAATATTTCAATTTATATAGCGAACAATGAAATGGTGGGTCAGATGAGTGATCTAGGGACATCTTGGCCATATTGCTTATTACCAAGAAAAAAATCAGTGTTATGAAGGAATATAACTAGAGGGGCAAGTTGAAGTTGAGCTGGACTTGCCTTTGGGCAAGTTCATTCGTAAAATAAACGGTTTGTTTCTGTTGAGCGCCTCAGGACCATCATGGCCTTCTTGTTTTTGTTTTGTTTTTTGTTTGTTTTTTGTAGTTGTTATTTTACATGATGGGACTAATACTATTTTTTTCGAGATTATTGTTCCATTTGATGAAGTTTAAGAAAAGTAACTGTTTGTGCAAAACTTCATATCAATCTCTCAATCCATTTTTCCAAAGTAATTTTGCCAAATATGCAAAATGACCGAAATTGAAAATCGTTACAACGCCTTTCACTCAAATTGGAATAAGAATAGCACAAAAAACCGATTTAAATTTATTATGATTTGCACATCTTATTGTTTTAGTGCCCCGTTGATCTAATGAAAGAAATTCCAATTTCATATTTTATGGCATTTGAACCTCAGTGGAGTTCTTTTAAAATTATTCAAAATTATCCTTACAAATTCCTACTCAAAAGTCATATAGTTCTATATAACATGCCATTTTTGAACAGAAGTAAGATTAAAGACATTTAAGGCAATTCTTGTTGTAATATTATTTCATACTAATGCAAAAATATATAATTCAATTATTTTTACACTTTAAAGTAAGGTTCTTCGCAATGCATAATGCCCTCTTTATTTTACACGACACATTTGTAAGTAGCAATATTGAATGTAAGGAAAATAATCTTAATTAGTAGGTCTTTTATTTTCTTTATGCTTAAAGCAGAATAACTTTGGGTACGATATGAATTTGGTATGGATCATTTAGACTAAGATATTAACATCGCTAAATTGAATACAATATGGATTTGATATGGAGCTTTCGATCTCAGAACATTAAGATAAGGCTAAATAGGCTACAATATCAAATTGATGCAGAGAGGAGGTGGGGTGGATTAGCGTATGAAAACGAAGATAGATTTAAGAAATTATTTATGATATTTGAATATCACATAGTGCAGTCATTTGTTTCATTTTATAAGGTGTGGAACCAAAAAAAAACTACTTGTATACATGAAAAACTTTTGCTCGTTAATTAACTTGTAAGCTATCTATGACTGTCACAATATGAACTGGACATCGATGGAACACAGGCTGATCACAACTACCATACAAAACAAAGCACAACTCGGTACAAACTATTTAACATTTATTACAAAATAAC